ATCTTTTTTTTGTACCAGGACCCATTTGCAAAGATGGATGGCTTGTCCTGACCCACACACCCCTGGCCCTGCCGGTGCCTGACCCACAATGCCCTGCTGTCCCCTGCCCTGCTGCAGCCTTGGTACCTGGTCACCTTCCTGCAGTGCCAGCAGGCACCTGCCCTCCACACATACCCATCCCCTCTGTATGTATGCACACACACGCACACACACACTGCCTCTAGACCTCAACAGTCCCCAAGCTCTGGCCCTCCAACCCCCACTCCCCATATACTTACCTTTATCCAGCTGCTGGAGCTGCTTCCACGACCCTGTCTGGCTGTATGCTGGCCACATCCCAAGCATGCCCTTGCAGGCTGGAACATTGCCAACCTGCAAAGGGAAACCTATGCTTTCACATGTTTTTCTGGCATTTGCTCATGACCCTTTGAAATATTCTTGCAACCCACTTTTGGGTTGTGAGCTAGGGACTGAGAAACACTGTCTTACTTTGCTTCCCCAAGTAATTGCTCTTGAAAAAGCATTCCTTTTAAATCGAGCATAATTCTTTTGATCCTCTACATTCATGAATCATTTCCTGGCATGGTCTCCTAACAACCCTCAAGTGTTTGCAAAAGAATAGCATAACTTGTGAATCATCCTTTTTCTTTTATGCTTGTTTTTTCTTACAGCTTTCTATTAAATTAGATCAATATATTAATACAATAACCCATGCCAATAAGCATACAGTATTTGCAATGTATTATAAAGCATTTCTAGTTCTGCCATCCATTAAGATAGTATCTGTTCTATCTTAATGGGCAATTATTTCAGGTGGAGGGCTACTTAGGGAGTTTTGATGAGCTGTTGTAGGCCTAGGGGCAGGGATACAGTTGAGCCTATCTGGCTCTGGACCCGTCTGCCTCACTTCTACTACTGGAGCACAAGATGGAGTGTGTGGATGGGCAGGTCTCCATGGAGACAGGCCCAGGACCCCTGTGGGCAGGGCATGCTCAGATGGGGTCTCAGGCAGGTGGGAAGCAGCATCCAGGAGCAGGATGGGCAGCTGGGGCTAGAGCCAGGGCCAGGATCTTGGAGCAGTAACAGCACAGGGTCAGGACAGAGCTGTGATCTGCTCCCCTCACGTCCCTGCAACATGTACCAGTTCCACGGGCCGTGGCCATGCCCAGCCCCTGCCCATGGAACTGGCTCTCATTAGAGGGACAGAGGGGTGTGGATCGTGAGACTGCCCCAGCCTCATGCCACCCTGTACTGTACCTGGTTCTTCCCTTCCCTGGCAGCACAGGGTAGTCCCAACGGGTTGTGATCAGCTTGACCCAGGAGTGGGGTGGAGAACACAACCATGATCCAATTCCCACTGTCCCTGCCCCAGCACATGTGCATATGGGCAGCCCTAGTACAGTATAGCTCTGGACCAATATGGCCCGGTAGTGCGGGGCAGCCTAATTCAGTCACTATCCATTGGGTTTGCCCCGCACTGCCAGGCCATGAGCAACCATAGCACAAACCAGGTGCGGTGCAGAGCTGAGTTGCCTGGGCAGCAGCGCCAGGTCCCACAGTGGCAGCAGACACAATGATAGTGGCAGCCAGGCAGAGTGAGCTGCCACTATGGGGGTTGTTGGGAAGTTCACTCTGGCAGCTGCGCCACCCCCGTCCCACTGTGCACCCAGAGGCAGTGGGACCAGCCTCAAGCACCATGGCCCAGGCTGCTCCCTGCGCCTGAGCTGAGGGAGCTGCCATGAGCCAGATAGTATCCCTTGGCAGGCCGGAGAGATGTATTTTTGCCTGCTTCTGATTTAGCCACTGTAGAACTGCATCTAGGACAGGGGTCAGCAACCTCATACCAACAGTGAGCTGAACTAATATAACTTGGTCCTAAGGTAGGCTAGACTACAGCTCCCAGTGTGCTGGGGTTCCAGTTCCCTTTCTAATAGGAGGTGAGGGGAGTGAGACTATAAATCTTAACCACAGTCTCATGCATCTGGGAAGTGCCACAAGGGCTCTGGGGTGGGACAACAGTGGGAGCTCTGCTGGGCCCAGAGGCTAACAGGAACAGGATGCGTTTTAACACGGACAAGTGCAGGGTGCTGCATTTGGGCAGTAGGAACCAGCAGCACACTTACACAATGGGGAACTCCTTACTCGAGAGCACGGAGGCAGAAAGGGATCTTGGAGTCATTATTGACTCCAAGATGAACATGGGCCGACAATGCGAGGTCATGGTTGGCAGGGCTAACCGGACCTTGTCGTGCATCCACAGGTGCATCTCGAGTAGAGCCAAGGAGGTGATCCTCCCCCTCTACGCGACGCTGGTCAGGCCACAGCTGGAGTATTGTGTCCAGTTCTGTGCGCCCCATTTCAAGAGGGATGTGGACAATATGGAGAGGGTCCAGAGGAGGGCCACCCGCATGATCCGGGGACAACAGGGCAGACCCTACAGTGAGAGACTGCGGGACCTGAACCTATTCAGCCTCCACAAGAGAAGGCTAAGGGGGGACCTGGTGACTGTCTATAGACTCACTAGGGGGGACCAGAAGGGTTTGGGGGAGACGCTGTTTCCCCTAGCGCCCGCTGGCATAACAAGGAGTAATGGGCACAAGCTGATGGAGAGGAGGTATAGATTGGACATCCGCAAAAACTACTTCACGGTTAGGGCGGCTAGGAGCTGGAACCAACTTCCAAGGGAAGTGGTGCTGGCCCCTACCCTGGGGGTCTTTAAGAAGAGGCTGGATGCCTACCTGGCTGGACTCGTTTGAGTCCCATTTCTCTTTTTGGGGTTTTTTGTTGTTCTCCCGCCCTGGCGGGGGGTCGGGCTAGAAGATCTACTAGGTCCCTTCCGACCCTTAATCTATGAATCTATGAATCTATGATCCAAGTGGTTCTGATCTGTCCATCTTAGAACCATGAGGCACCCGGGCCTCTGAGCCATGCTGAGTGGACGGTGCACTTGATTGGCTGGGGGGTCATAGACAGGGGAGCAAGCTCTATATAGGAGAAGGCAGGAAGGTCTCCCTGTAGAATAGTAGGAGCAGAGAAACACCCAGAACCTGGACTTTTTGGCATGCTCAGGAGACTGGATAAGTTCTCTTCACAGACCAAATCCTTCCAAAGGGCCACAGGTTAATGGTCTAGTAAAAACAGCCCTTGAATACACTATATGATCGTGGAAAAAAAATTTTGCTTAAACTGTGCTATTAAAAAAGCAATTACAAACCCTCTTGCTGCAAGATATAGCATATTAGCAGATCTTAATACTATAAAATTTCTAGTGATGTTTTATTTGAAATGTGATTGCATGTATGCATGTATTTTGTTTATTATAGACATTTCTTTCCACAGAATTATGATGGTTTCTGTTCTGCGTCATACCAAGACACCAGTTAAGTTTTGGTTTCTGAAAAATTACCTCTCACCAACATTTAAAGTAAGAGCAGCATTCCTCTTTGATTGTATTTCTGTGGTTAACAGTGCAATGTTAAAATTAATAATATAATTTTTATTTTAATATTTTATCTTTAGGAAAAACATTTTTAAATAATACCCAAATTAATTAAAATAGTATATTATGGAAACATTAATATCAGTGCTAAAAACTGCCATTATGGAAGATTATTTTTCTCTACAAACTATCTACAATAGTGCATTTTAATAGTTTCTTCTTATTTGTCAGCTTCTATCAACATGAAACAGATTCCTTATAGACATAGCTTGAAATACCAGTAGGACTTTTTGAAAATGTCAAAGAAGCTGTATTTAAAATGCAACTATTTTACCACATATTTTCCATAACACCAACAAGACCTAATTGTTAGGAGGCTGAGTGTATTCTAATAAAGCACAAACTAGAATGTTTGCAACTCATTAATTTTTCCCCCTCAAAGTGCTTGAGGCTGCATGTAGATGTTCATTTTCTACTGGGAGAGTTGCTGCCTTCCCAAGAGAAATCATGAGTTTACAGATGTTAAGGATTTTTCTCCCAGAGCAAAAATGACTGCTCCAAGAAGAAAAATAATCTGGAGACAGACAGGGTTAAATCACTTCTGTGAGAGTTTCTCCTGTGTGACTGAATGTCTGTACATAGTCTCTTCTCAGAGAAGCCACAGCACTTGTCCCCTGCCTCCCAGGGAGACAGTGGTTAATTGGGCTGGACTCTTCTGTTCCAGTAAAGCAGGGAGCAGCACACGCCCACTTTACATTCACCACATTATACAGACAGTCCTCGGACTTACAACACAATTGGTTCCTGAAACAACATTTCAACTTAAGACGCGATTAACTCAGAAGCAATTTTCCCATAGGAAACAATATTATAAATGGGGGAACCAAGGCCCAACACCCTATTTTCACCAGAAATAACCCAGAATTTTATACTCAATCAATTATAGATGAGTAATATAGCTACATCAATGTATTTATATTGTAAACAACAATCATATTGATTTCAAAGGACTTCTTTGAGGTGACTTTGCTGGACTTTTTGAAAGGCTCCTGGTTGGACTTTTTGAAGGGTTTTTGGCTAGAGTCTTCTCAGGATTTTGACTGCAGGTTTTTCTGGAGTCTTCTCTGCTTTGCTAAAGAAAGTGTCCAAGGAAGTTTGGACAGATGTTCTCTTGTTTTGCGTGTCAATTTCTCTGTAGCAGCTGTACGTATTGGATATACCCCCATTCACTGATGCACTGCGTTCAATGTCAGCGTCATGTTCCTCAGATAGGGACATGGCAGCTTCCAAATGTTTCATAGTTTCATAGTTTCTAGGGTCGGAAGGG